TGTTATTGCACTTTACCCTTTGCATTAGCTCACAACAACTCAGCTAGTAGATATTATCCCAATTTTATAGGTTAAGAAACCAAGATTGTTAAAGCTGTTCTGTATCTTATCTACAAGTTATCAGTGATGTAATCTGTATTTTTTCTCAATCTCTCTGTACTTTTGCCTATATTTCTTTCCAGGATAGCCTAGTTGTTTTCCTTTACTACATATAATCACAGATCTATTTTTCAGTTGTAGCATAATTTATACTCAGCACAACAGATTTTAAGTGTTTAGTTTGTTGAGTTTTGATAACTGCATAACCTGTGTAATCTTCACCCAAAACAAACATACAGAATATTTAGTCATACCCAAAGTCTGTGGGTGCCACCGTCTAATCACTCCCTCCTTCCCCCAGAATAAAGAGCTTCCTGATTTCTGTCACTCTGGGTTAGTTGTGACAGTTTTTGAACTTAATACAAATAGAATCAAATAGTATTTATTCTTTCACGTCTTATTTCTTTCAATCAACATAGTGGTTTTGAGATTTATCCATATTGTATTTAGCAAAAGTTTTTTCCTAAAATTCCTTCTTAAAGTAATTTTATATTTTGCTGTAGTATACAAAATGTGTAGATCCATTCTTCTGTGGATCCTGCGTAGATCCATTCTCATGTATAGGTCCATGGGCATTTTGGGATGTTTCTAATTTTTAGCTATTATGAATAAGATATAAATATAGCTTTTTAAAAATTATTGTAAACTTGTGCAGCTTGACTCAGAATAGACTCAGTTATGCTTCAGTAACAAACAGCCTAATTCTCAGTGACTTAAAACAAAAAAGATTTATTTCTTTCCCATGTTACATACACATTGAGATTTGGCAAGAGGTCTACTCTGCTGTGTTCCTCACTAACTGCTAATACCATCAGTGGCAGGAAATGTGTTTTAAACGTTTTTATATCCACAGTACAAATATTTGTTAAATAAATGTATGTGTTCAAAATAAAATGAGAGCTATATTGTTGAGTTTCAAGCAATTAAAGTAAGTTGTAGCCAGCCTAACTCAAAAGGAGAATGTGTCATAAGAATTCAAGGATGTCACACAGACTCTTATGAAAGGAGTCATACAACCAAGACTGAAGGGAAGGCACCCAGGCATCCCCAGAGATGCCAGCAGAAGGGAGTTCTGAACCACTTAGCCTTGAGCTTTTCCTTTGGTAGTGTCTTGACATCACAGTCCTGAGCTCTGTGTGTCTCCTCTAGAGTTAAGAGTCCTGGAGAGAGAGAATTTGGCCTCAAACTAAAACTAGTATCTGCCCCCTCCATCCACTCAGATTGAGGCAGGGTTATTTGAGTTAGCTGGTGTAGACATGACGACCCATCCAGGGACTGACTGTGAGCTGAGCAGAAACTCCAAAGAATGGCCTTCACATGTGGTACTTCTGAGAGCTGGTCTACCACTAGCAGCACATTGTTATTAACTTATTGAAGCAGCATGGAAAGCACAGGGCGTATTTTGATGGCTCTGCTCTCCTTTTCCTGCCTTGTTCAGGCCCCTCTGACTCAATGGACATGTGCAGCATGCCTTCTTTCTGGCTCAGTACCCTGCTACAAGCTTGGATTCAAAGAAATAAGATCCTATCCTTGTTCTTGGAGAGGGAGAAAGAATAGCATTGCAAGTATAGAGAGAAAGTCACACAGCAGTCACCTACTCCTGTGGTCTCAGTTACCCTTCTGAAAATATCCGTGTTTGTCTTGACTCTCAAGATAGACCATTGTCATGTAACTTCACTACATTATATTGTTATAATTATTCTATTAGTTTTAGTCTCCCACTGTGCTTAGTTTATAAAATTAAACTTTATCTTAGCTATGTGTATATAGAGAAAAGTAGAATAAAAGTCAAGTTTAATACTATCCGTGGTTTCCAGCATCCCCTGGGGGCCTTGGAATGTTTTCCTCAAGGACTGGGAGGACTTCGTACACACACACAGTTCTGCACCCTGGAAAACAGTTCTCTTATCCGCAGTCCAACTCCATTGTCTCTCCAGCATCTATGAAAGATAATTATAAGAACACTACCAAACAATGGTGATCAAGGATTGCATTCTGTATGGGGCACCACTGTCTAAGCAACTTATTAACTTTATAGAAAGAACGATTATTTATAAAGCAAACAGATTTCATTCCTTATATGACTCTTAGGGGGTCAAAGATTCCCTACAAGTCATTCAGGCTAACTGCTCAGTTGCAATATAAGTGCCTTCTGTCCTTTGGCTTCCATCTTCTTTATTTTCTCTTGAAATTGCTAGTATGTCAGCTTTCCACAGCTTTATGCTGAGGTGTGTGAAAATTCACTATTAAACAGATTATAAAGAATTATGAACTATAACTTCTTATAGCAGCTTTCTTGTCTCCATTGGACTAAGTGTAGGTTTCCTATTACTTGAGATTTTTAAAAATTTAAATGGACTTTAAAGGGCATTGAAGTCATACTAATTTGAGGAAAATCATTAAATTATGAAGGGATAACTTGGCTGATTTGAGCTAACTTGGTCTCATTAATCAGGATTTCTTAATAAGAATTTATGTGTAGTCATTTTCACTGCTGGTAACCTTTGAAAGAGATATAAAAGCATCTACATAATTACTGCCAAATGCACTCTGCTGTGTGAGTTCCAAATCTGGAGCAAATATGTCCCATTGGTATTAGACTCTTAGCTGAGCTGAGCTCTATTGTGTTATTCTATGGAAGAAACTGGGAGGAGTATTACCACCGGGGAAATGGAATTACTCACCCCAGGGTAACTGACTACTTTTTCTATGTATGAGCAAACTGCTGAGGAATGGATTATAACCCCTGAAAACCATTAGCCATCTTTTACATGATAGTGCATGCTCAAGGCATCTGTAATGCTGTCAGGAAAGAATAGATACATTTTTCATCCTCTCTGGCACTTCATAGTTTTAGTTTTTCTTCCAATTGCTTTGGTTTGGCTCACTAACTAGATAATCCATGAATCCAAGAAGTGATACCTAGACTTCAATTCTTTATATGCTCCCTCATTCCACAAGGAATTTACGCCAGAATTCTTGTAGTTGAACCTACCTACATCAGCACTCTGGAAACGGAGGCTATAAGAAGCGATTTTCCCAAAGCTCAACTCTAATGAGTGAGTTTCTCTCATAAAATAACACAATACACTCGATCCTAAGTGCAATGGGAGGATGTTAAGCAAGGGATAGAAATATAATCAGATTTGTATGCTAGGATCACAACAGCTCTGCTGGGTGAGGGATGGATTGGGGAGGATTGCTGAAAGGACGGAAGTGTGGAGATGAGTAGAAAGCTCTCCATTAATTCAGATGAGAAATGATAATGACTTACAATAGGGTAGGATGGAAAGAAGTGGAAAGATGAAAGATAACATTTTAAAAACAGAACAAACATTTCGAGTTGATGGCTTGAAGGTACAGTTGAGGAATGAGAGGTCTTAATGCTTAATTCCTGGTTGAATGACAGGTACAGATATTGTTGATGGGTACTCAGGTGAGGAGACTTGGCCTTGGAACCATCTGGGAACTGAGAGGAATAAAAAGCTCTATGTTATTTGAGATGCTCGTAAGACATCTAGTGGAAAAGACATAAAGGAGGAGTTGAATATATTGCTCTTCAGCTCTGAAATTGATGTAGGGTAAATATGTGAATGTGGAGGATGTCAGTATATAAATAGTCTCTGATTTTGAGGGAATGGTTCACCTATTTGTGGTTTATTGAACTGACACTAAAGGAGAAGGATGGGTTTGAGGTATAAATTGAATACATTTCATGTATGGCAATATGATTAAAGCACCAAAACAGGAATGACATGGACCAATGGACTTGTTACCCCATCAGAGAGAAATCAGAAGTAAAATGGAGTTGGTCACTGAGTGTTCTCCTGAGTCAGGCCATGGCTTCCCTTATGTACATTTGTTATATGAGCAAAGATCTATATGAACTCTTAGACCTTTACATATCAACAAGTCTCCTTTTTGTAAGCTTTATTGATTTATATTATGAAAGATAAATCAAAGCCCAGCACAGTGGTGTATACCTTTAACCCCAACAACTCAAGAGTCTAAGGCAGGAGGATCACAAGTTTGAGGCCAATCTCAACAACTTATTGAGACCCTGTCTCAAAATTTAAAAGAAAAAAGCTGGGGTTGTAGCTCAGTGGTAGAGTGCCCATGAGTTCAATCCCCCATACAGAAAAAAGAAAAGAAAAAATGATAAAGCTTGCATAATTTGAGATAATTATGTTGGTTCTACATCATGAATGGTGAAGGACAGCCATCTCCCACATAACCACTTACTTCTACATTTGCTATGGTAGAAATAGGCCCAGATAATCAGTACTGCTGCTCTAGGAGTTGTGTGCCTGTTGCCCTGGTGACAAGGTTGCAGTTCCCACTTCCTCTGCTCCATTAGGATAATGAGGAGAATTCACAAGTCATTGTCTGCAGGAAGCTCCACACTCCCATCCATCACTCTTCACAATCCGCTATGCAGGAACTGTTGTAGACATCCACCATCCTTCTTTTGGCAGAAGGAAGTTAGAAACTGAGAGAGGAGGCTGGGAACTTTTCCAGCTCAAAGAACAAAATGCTCTAGACGTTAATGGGGCCTAGAGGTCATATACGCCCATTTGAAAAATTTCTATTCCACCTCGCTAAGCAAGTTGACGCCTTTCCAAAATTATCTTCCACAGCACCTGACTTTCCAAGCAAGATTTGGCGAACTCCGAGCATCATCATTCTTTGTCACTAATAATTGTATCTGAGAATCCCTTGAGTAATACATCTCTTTTTGTGTCTAATTGCTCCATGTGCTTGGAAGCTATATATTTAAATATGTATTTAATTCTGTGCGATGCATGTGCATTTTCAATTGAGAAGTGAGGAAGCACTTGTAATTTGAGCCAGGAGCTCAGGATTTACTCTGTACTGATTCTGCCTATTTTAACATTTTGCAGAAATGAAGACGCAGTCAATCAGATGGCTGTACCTCCCTTCCCATTACCATCAAGCTCCCCATCTTCTATTGAGGTAAGGCTGCTCCTGATGAGCTCTGAGTGCATTATGTGGTTTTGCTGTGAGCACTTTCCCAAATCTGACATTTGGGATTTTCAGCATTTAGTATTACAAACACATCATATGTGTATTAACTTAGCAAATTTCCCTAATATAGAAAACATTTGAGGTATTATTAAAAAGTAATGTAATGGCCAGGTGCAATGGCACATGCCTGTAATCCCAGCGGCTCTGGAGGCTGAGACAGGAGGATCATGAATTCAAAGCCACTCTCAGTAAAAATGAGACACTAAGCAACTCAGTGAGACCCTGTCTCTAAATAAAATACAAAATAGGGCTGGGGATGTGGCTCAGTGGTCAAGTACAATCCCCAGAACTCTCCCCTCCCCACAATAGGAAAAAAAAGAGTAATGTATCAATATATAGTCTACTGTCATGTGTAACTAATTAGAACAAAAAAGTAATATAAACTATGTTAAACAAGCATATCAGAACTTAACCATATGAATATTATCATCTTCAAAGTTGCTTAAGATTTCCTCAAGTTCTATAATTTTATTCTGATTAGATATTTCAGAATTTATTAGAAGATCATTTTATGGCTGAACTGTACCCTTTCTTTATGGTTTCAAAGCACTTCAACACCTGCAATAACAAATGTCTTCAAACAGTTACTTCATCTATTAATGGAGAAATTACTAGAATAAGATTGTTATAATATTGGCATGCTTCTAGAATTGGAGAGAAAGAGATAACTATTGTTATACAGGTTGAGTATCCCTTATCTGAAATGCTTGGGACCAGAAGTGTTTCAGATTTTGAATATTTGTACATACATAATAAAATGGCTTAAGAATGGGACCCAAATCTAAACACAAAATTCATTTGCGAGGGGCTGGGTTGTAGCTCGGTGGTAGCTTGCTTGCCTAGCATGTGTGAGGCACTGGGTTTGATTCTCAGCACCACATACAAGTAAATAAAATAAAGGTCCATCAACCACTAAAAAATATTTTTTAAAAAATTCATTTATGTTTCATATATGTATCTTGAACACATAACCTAAATATAATTTTAGGCAGTATTTTTAGCATGCCAATGTTTTGATTATGACCCTTCACATGAGATCAGAAATTGTCCACTTATGGCCTTATGTACATGCTCAAACAAACAAACACAAAAAGATATGGGGACATTGTAGATTTGGGGGTATTTGAATTAGGGATGCTCAACCTGTATAATCAATTTGTCTCTTGAGATGAGAGAATATTCATTCCTTTCACATTTTTGTTTTTTACTTATTAAATTACTTTTTTCATTCCAAGAAGAAATACATACTTATTTGTAATTATAGATGTGAAATTATTAGAAAAAAAAGTTAATTTTCCTTTCACTACCAATTAATGTTTACTATCTTTCCATACTTTTTTAGTATCTTTCCATACTTTTTTCTTTGCTTCTACAACAAAAATATGTAAATATATATAAGTAATGTTCTTTTTAATAAAAATTTAATAATTCAACAACACATTCTTCTCATTCATTCAATAAGTATCTCATAAGTTCATACTGTGGTATTAGGTACCATTTTGGATATTGGAGATATTTGTGTGAATAAAATAAGGCTCCCTTCCATGGATCAGCTTACTTTCTAATGAGGAGAGAAAGATAAATTAACTAACAAATAAATACACCAAGAAAATTACCAGATAGCGGTCAGTGCCTGGCAGAAAACTAAAATAGAGAACATGGCACAGTAACCACTTTCATTGATCATAGAGAAGACCTCTTGGATAGGTGAAATTCAAACAAGATTGGAATGATAAGGAGGTGGCGTGATTGTGTCCTGCAGGTCTCTTCTCTGCAGCAGTCATTTATCTCTGCCTTCTCTCCCTACTAAGTGCGTGCCACCACCCCATGGAAGATTTAATGGACATAGATGTGAACCCTCCTGAAGTCCCAGAACTGCTCTTTGGTTGTGAATTAAAGGCTGATAAGTATTTTAGGGTGGATGGTGAGAAAAAGCACCTGTTATCATTAAGAACAGTTTAGAGCCAAGCACAATGTCATGTGCTTATAATCTACGCAACCAGGGAGGCTCAGGCAGGAGCATAGCACGTTTGAGGCCAGTCTGGGCAACTTAGTGAGTTAGTGAGATCCTGTCTTAAAATAAAAAAGAAAAAGGCTTGGGGCTGTAGCTCAGAGGTAGAGCACCCCTGGGTTCCATCCCCAGTACCACCACCAAAAAAAAAAAAAAAGAGTCTGCTTAGGAGCTCTTGTACAAAGGATAAACTGCACATTTTTGGAAAAGAGGCAATGAATTATTAAGTCAGTCCAATTTAAAAAATACTGGCAACTGTGACAATGTCTGTACAATCAACAGTTTCACTTGGGGACTTTGAAATTACACCACCTGTAGTCTTAAGGGTGAAGTGTGATTTAGGGACTGATCGTTAGTGGACAGCACTTAGTAGTTCTGGAGGAAGATGCAGAGGCTGAAGATGAAGAGGAGGAGAATGGAAAACTCTTGAGTCTCTGGAAAGCTAGCTGCCCCTGGAAGTGGTAGTACAGTTCCACAGAGGAAAGTACAACGTTCTGACATAGAGGAGGAGGAGGACAGTGATGAAAGTGAAGACCACAAGATGATGGTTTTGGTGATGAGGAAACTGAAGAAAAAACTCCAGTGAAGAAATCTATACAAGGTACTCCAGCCAAAATTGCACAAAAACCAAACCAGAATGGAAAAGATATCGAAACCATCAATACTAAAATAAAGGTCAAGAATCCAAAATGCAGGAAAAATTCCCCAACACACCCAAAGGGCGTAGTCCAGTAGAAGACATTAAAATAAAAATGCAACCAATTGGAGGAAAAGGTGGTTTTCCTTCCAAAGTGGAAGCCAAGTTTAATGATTTTGTGAAGAATTGCTTCCAGACGACTGCCCAGGAGGCTATTTGAGCTCTCCAGCCGTGGAGGAAGTCTCTTTAAGAAAATGAACATTTCTTCAAAACGTTATGTCTTGTTCCATGCCTGCAACAGTTGATATCTGGCTTCTTTTTTTTTTTTTTTTAAATGCAAAGTGAAAACTTCCTCCACCGTGTTTGATAAATTATGTCCACGTTCCATTGCCAAGAACATGTTGTTCAAAATGCCTGTTTAGTTTTAAAAGATGCAACTCCACCATTTGCTGGGCTCAAGCACGTAGGGAATGTTATGATAGGACATAGTAACAGTGGTGGTCGGCTGCGGGAATGGTGGGGAGGCAAAAATATACCTGTGAAGTCAACTCAGCATTGAAAAAGAAGAAGGAGCCAGACACAGAAAAGCTAGGAGGAGGAGCGTGCCCTGGAGAGGGGACAGAAATAGCTCTCAAGTGAGAATGAGCCTGAGGGAGAAGGAGGAAGGAGGTGGAGAGGCCTCAAGTCAGAGCAGGAAGCTGGGGTTGTATTTTGTGTGCTGTGGAAGCCAGCGAAAGGTTTTAAACAGGAGAGTGAAGTGGCCTGATACATAATTTTTAGAGATCCATCTGGTCATTTGAGGGATGGAAAATAAATTTTTTCTTTGGCCCCCAAAGGTTTCTAGTTAGAACAGATTCATATAACAAAAGACAGATCACCAAGACAAAAACAGAATTTTATGAGTATTTCACATATAATATATGAGAACCCAGGAATGAGCAGTTGTCAAAGAGATGCTTTTGAATTCCAGTTTTTATAGCATCTTCGCCAAAAAAGAGTCATTTTTGTTTGTACTGGGATTGAATCCAGAGTTGATATACTCTGAGCAACATCCCCAATCCCATTTATTTATTTGTTTGTTTAATTTCTTGAGACAGGGTCTCAGTCAATTGCTGAGGCTGGCCTCAAATGCCCTGCCTTGGCCTTCCAAGTTACCAAGAAAAAATTAGTGAATTTTCAGAGAAATGACAAGACAATGGCAAAAGACTTTGACTCTAGGGTTGGTAACTTAGAAGAAGGCAAATATCTAGTAAATAAAGGCTAATTAGTAAGGCTTGTTGCTGCAAGATTCCTCTGGTGCCATCTCCACACCAGTAAGGATCCAAAGTTGTCTTCAGTGGCTAACTTTTGTTCTCCCTGGTGATTGGGGGGGGGGGATGACATTTTGCTGTTTATCTTTGTAAATCTAAGTTCTGCTTTTAGGCCCATATAGGAAAGGCAGGGAGTTCTCTTGCATCTGCATTTTAATTGCCTTCAGCTCAACAGCCCTTCTTATTTTCTGTGGGGATATGGGGGTGTATATTACAGTCTCCTACAACTTCTAGGTAAGGAATGAATGGTAGGAAGGTAAACATAATATGCTGGAAGGCAGAAGCCCAGGCGAGACCTGAATATGGCTTGGATGAGGTACAGGTTATTAGAAGCAAAGTGAGCAGAATCCAGCTGTTTCAGAGTTTTGAGTCAGACCTGATGGGTTAAAAGTGAGAGCTGAGGGGAAATAGAGAATCACAGATTCCATTTTCTGGGTGGATTATGGTGCCATTTACTATAGTCTGTAGAAAAATTGCTTTTTCTCAATAAGGAGATAGAAATTAAGACGTTTATTTTAGGAGATTAAATTTGATATATGTCGTACACATCATTCTGAATAGAGTCTATGCATTAAAAAATTATATTACTCTGTTTGCCCAAGTGTATTCTCACTTTAAAAATGTTTCAATATGCTCTATCAGAGTTTTTTTCCTGGCTTATAGATATTCAGATGGTCTTCAAAATCTTGGCATTAAAAGAGCACCAAAATGTATGTGCATGTGTATGAGAGGGGGGCATTAAGAACCAGTGCTTTTATTTTTATAGCACATATATCTCTAATGTACCATTTCTGTAAATTTGTAAAGGGTATATAAATTCAAAATTTTAATCTATGTTGACCACCAAGAGCCATTTTGCCACAGTTTTGCCAGCACTGAAGATTTTTATTTCAATGAAGACCCAGGAGAGATAGGCAGGTAGCATGGCAGAGGGTAGCACCCACATTTCCCTTCTCTAAAGGAACATTGC